AGTGCACTCGCGTTGTAGTCGTGCTCGACTCTGGAACTGTTGAGTCAGGGCGGCGCAGAGCACAATATCTCGGCAACCGTGGAATCGCCAACCGCACCGCCCAACCCAAAATTTCGCGCCCGTGACCATCCGGCCGCGGGCAGAGCGACGCGGCTTATGCTGTCCTCGCTGATGGGTGCCACGGCAGTGCGCTGTGAGGGATCCCTTGGACGTATTCGGAGCTTTTCGTACGGCCCCTGTACTGGACAGGTCGTCGGGGGGCTTCCCGATAATCAGCACGGCGAATAGTTTCCAGGCATCTTCTTTGGGCTGAAAGCACCTTCTTGTCGGATCCCTTGGAACGTGAACCGTGACACATTGCAACTCAGATAGGGCCGAGGCCACCTTGGTGACCATGGCTTCTGACTGCTGCTTGACCTCAAACCTACGTCGGACTTTGCGCTACACTAAGCCCCGAGGGACTGAAGAGGTGGCCGGCACAAGGAGGGTGCAACTATCGTGAGGGCAATCTTTATTTGCCACGAAACCGGGAGCATTCATTGCACAAGTGTCTCTCTGATGCAGGCGCCGACAACACCCACTCCCTTCTCCCCTAAGGCTCCTTAGGGGTGGTGGTGGTGGTGGTGGTGGTGGTGGTGGTGGTGGCGGTGGTGGCGGTGGACAAGGCACCTGTGGCTCCGTGGATGTAAAAGGCGCCCGTGGCTCCATGAAGAAGGAGGAGGAGGAGGAGGAGGAGGAGGAGGAGGAGGAGGAGGAGGAGGAGGAAAAAGCAGAGGTTGCCAGGCCCGCGGCGTGCACTCCAGTCCAATGTAGCGAGAGCGAGCGCTGGGAATGCAGCGGCTGCTCGCGCGGGAAGCAAGATGGCACGAGCTCGAGGTGCGCCCGCCACAGCGAGCCCAGCCCCAGGTCGGGAGAGAACAGCCACTCGGTGGGAAGCCGAGGGGCCGCCCTCCTCCTCCTCCTCCTTCTCCTCCTCCACCTCCTCCTCTTCCTGCTCGTCTTCCTCCTCCTTCTGATCGTCCTCCTCCTCCTCCTCGTCCTGCTCCTCCCACTCCTCCTCCTCTACCTCCTCCTCCTACTCCTCCTTCTCCTCCTCCTTCTCCTCCTGCTCGTCCTCCTCGTCCTCCTGCTCGTCCTCCTCCCCCTCCTCCTCCTCCTCCTCCTCCTCCTCCTCCTCCTCCTCCTCCTCCCCCTCTTCCTCCTCCTCCTCCTCCTCCTCCTCCTCCTCCTCCTCCTCCTCCTCGACGAGACCAGCACTGGGGCAACGGGCCGTTTCAGCCTCGCGCAGAGGGGGGTGGGAAGAGGGGGGAGGGCTTCCACCCCTGCTTCTAAGAAGCCCTCTCCCCTCTCCTCCCTTCACCCCCTTGTGCGCGCTACCGAGCCAGGGCCTCAGGACTGGCCAGGGCGGCGTCGCCATCTCGGGAACGGCGGGCGGCAGCAGCACGCGAGCCGATGCAGGCAGCTCAGCTCTCCGTCCCACAGATTCGGGTGTTGCATTTTTTTCACAGCGGGCGTTTTTTCGCCCGAATTCGAGGAGGAGGAAGAGGACGGGGAGTGAGGATGGAGAAGGAGGCGTATGAGGAGGACGGGGATCGGACCAGGAGCAGCACGTTGGAGGAGGAATGGGAAAGTGACGGCGGGGGGTGGCGGAGGAGAGGGGGGGGGGAGGCGGAGGGGGAGGGGGAGAAGAGGAGCGGGGGCCGCGCAGGGAGGTGGGGTTCGGGCGCCCTGGCCCCCGAGAGGATATGGAAGTACATGCTGGCGAATCCGGACTGCCCCCTCGACGAGATTCCCCAGATCCCTGATAAGGACGGATTTGGCGAGCGCAGCACCCCCTGGACATGCGAGTCGGGGCGAAGTGGAGTGGGGGGAGGAGGGAGGAGGGAGAAGTTCCCCCCCTGCTCCGTCTCCCCCTCCCCGGACTGCCTCCCACCGCGACGTTCTCCAAGACCCTGGACAGGGACGTGGATGGCAAGAGCTTCGATGTGCGCCTGGCGCTTGCCGGAGCCCCGTATGCCTGTATCCAGCGCGCCGCTATTTCTATTACCCTATCTCATCTTGTGTGTGTGTCTGCCTGCCTGCCTGCGTGCCTGCGTGGCTGCCTGCCTGCCTGCCTGCCTGCAGTCTGCCTGCCTGCAGTCTGCCTGTCTGCCTGCCTGCAGTCTGCCTGTCTGTCTGCCTGTCTGTCTGTCTGTCTGTTTGTCTGTCTGGCTGTCTGTGTGAGGCGGCGGAAGGGCGGCTGACGCGGCGGGCGGACGCCAAACGGCCAGGTCTGCCGGCGGCAGCGGGCGGAAGGCCGACACGAGCCGGCGGACGTCAAGATCTGCCCTCCAAGAGATGGCAGCATTGTTGGGCCCAGGGTGTCCAGAACCCGTCAGGCGCCGCCGTGTGTGTGTGTGTGTGTGTGTGTTTGTGTGTGTGTGTGTGTGTGTGTGCGCGCCAAGCTGCGCAGCTCGGCCCCAAGCCGAGGACTACAAATTTTGCTCACGCACGGTGGTCAATCGGATCTGAGCGTGTCCTGTCCTCGCTCACCCGTCGAGTGGAGTCACCACCGCGTGCTACGTCTGCGTGAGTGTGTGTGTGTGTGTGTTCTTTGGGACCCCGCTTGCGGTCGGGAACTTTTGGATAGCGCGGTTTGGGCCCACCGCGCTTCAGGCGACACGCTCTCCACGACGCGGCCCCCAGGCGTCAATGTCCCGAGCCTTTCCCGAGCCTCCCGCCCCCGCGGAGCGGAGCGACACGCTTTCCGCTCGCAAGGCATAGCGTGCCGCTGGGGCCGCCGCCGTGACACGCTAAGCAAAAGCTCCCGGCCGTAGCCCGACTGGGCCTGCCTAGATCGGTCGCGTGGCTCGTCGCCCCTCCCGCGTGCGCCCGAAGTCGACGTCTTGGGCAGCGCGAGGGCTGCGCCGAGCTCTTCTGGACGCGGTCGGCGTCGCCCCCCCCCCCCCCCCTGAGAGGCTCTTCGCGAGGCTGGCGTCGAGGCGGCCGCCTCTGGGGTTTGCCCTCTCGTTTCGCGGGGTAAAGATGGGGCCCCCGAGGGATGGGGCCACGAGGAACTTGGGCAAGGAACTTTGGCTTGGCGTGCCGCGCCCGCCGGTTCTGGCCCACCACGCTTCGGCGCCACGCGCTGCCCACTTTCGGACCCCCGAGCGTCAACGGCTCGAGCGGGCAAGGAACTTTGGCTTGGCGTGCCGCTCCCGCCGGCTCTGGCCCACCGCGCTTCGGCGCCACGCGCTGCCCACTGTCGGGTCCCCGAGCGTCAACGGCTCGAGCCTTTGGGCAAGGAACTTTGGCTTGGCGTGCCGCTCCCGCCGGCTCTGGCCCACCGCGCTTCGGCGCCACACGCTGTCCGCTTTCGGACCCCCGAGCGCCAGCGGCTCGAGCCTCTTCCAGCCCGCCGGTTCTGGCCCACCGCGCTTCGGCGCCACACGCTGCCCACTGTCGGGTCCCCGAGCGTCAACGGCTCGAGCCTCTTCCAGCCCGCCGGTTCTGGCCGACTACGCTTCGGCGCCACACGCTGCCCACTCTCGGACCCCCGAGCGTCAACGGCTCGAGCCTCTTCCAGAGCCTCCCGCCCCCGCGGAGCGGAGGGACACGCTCTCCGCTCGCAGGGCACGGCGTGCCGCCCGGAGCCGCCGCCGCGACGCGCCCCGGAGGGCCCCCAGGAGTCCAGAGAGGGTCCGGGGACAGCCCAAGAGGGCGCCAAGACGGCCCGAAGCAGTTCCAAGAGACCTCCCAGGAGGGCCTGGAAATACTATATTCGTTGATTCTCGCAAGGGTTTTTTTGCGAGATTTCTGTATGTCCCTGACACGTCGATTGGTGAATTGTCCGTTTGCAGTTCTCGCGAGGGCACCGCGGCCGTCATTTTCCAGCCTTGCGCCCGCCAGGTTTGGGCCCGGGGTCGTTTTCACCAAACCACGTTTTACTAAAGGGGGTTCTGTCCATCCCCGAAAGAGGGCGCCAAGACGGCCCAAAGCAGTTCCAAAAGAACTCCCAGGAAGGCCTGGAAATACTATATTCATTGATTCTCGCAAGGCTTTTTGCCAGATTTCTGTACGTCGTACCAAAGCCTTCCAGCAGGGCTCCAAGACTAGCCAGCGACCTCGCGCCCTCACAGAAAGAACCCGCGCTTTCCGCCCCCATGCCAAGCAGGTAATGGAAAGAGCGAGGTACGAGTGATGACGTTGTGGTGGGGCGAAGCCCTCTAGGGAGGGGTCCAGGGGAAGGGCGAGGGCCGCACATTGGGTTGGTAATGGCCGCTCGAGGTCCGTTTCCCTGGTTTTTTTTTCGAAGGCAGCGGCTCGCGGGCGCCTCCCACGGCTCGTTTCTGCGTATTTCCCTACCTAGGCTCTGCCTAGAAGGGTTCTTACTCTCTAGCTTAAAGGGGCCGGGCAGTGCTACACGCCCCGGGCGGTTCCCCCAGTCCCCTGGGAGCGGTTCCCCCCAGTCCCCTGGGAGCTTTAGCTTTAGCTTTAGCTTTAGCTTAGCTGTAGCTTAGCTTTAGCTTAGCTGTAGCTTAGCTTTAGCTTTGCGTTTCGCTTAGCTTTTCGCTTAGCTTTTAGCTTAGCTTTAGCTTAGCTTTAGCTTAGCTTTAGCTTAGCTGTAGCTTAGCTGTAGCTTAGCTTTAGCTTAGCTTTAGCTTAGCTGCGGCTTAGCTTTAGCTTAGCTTTAGCTTAGCGTTACTGTTACTACTAATGCTGCTTTCCTAGGGGTTCCATCTCCTAGGTAGGGTCGCACTGGGATAATTTTTTAGAGTGACGCGGCTGAAGGGCCCCAAGACGGCCCAGAGAGGGCACCAACACGACCCAAAGATGGGCCCAAGAGAGCTTCGGATGGCCTCCAGACGGTCCAAGGGAGCCTCCAGACGGCTCCAGAGACATTCCAGAGGGCCCCTGAGAGGGCCAGAGGAGGGCAAACAATTTGATTTTTGCAGTTATTTCGGGTTCTCGCTTTTCTCGGGTCCAGAAGGGCCCCACTGCCGGCTGCCCGCCGCCGCCTG